GATTCTATAGTTCTTTTTTTAATCAAGAAAACAAAGTCAAAGATTTTTCAAAAAKATTTCAAAGYAAAACACATCCRATTGGACYTCCATTGACCATATAGTCRGARCCATTTTGACCARGGAACAAAATGGYTTATGCCCATTTGGACTAAAGTCCATATGGTCATGACCATAACTGACCAGTTTTGTAATGAGTTGGATTGGACAATGGTCAACCATCCCATTTGACAGCTCTAGTTGGAGCTTTACCACAGATGCATTTTGGATGTATTGGTCGGAACGGCTTGATGGTTTAGAAGGACTGGAACCTCAAATTTTTCTAAGGTTTGGTCTGACAGTCCATTCTTTGGTTAGTCAAAATTTCGGAAAGTTTTCTTTTAAAAAAAAATCTTGCATTTATCATAAGATATTTTTTATTATTATTTTGGTCACATTTTTATGGAAATTAATTTTATTTTCTTGAAATGCTACTGCAGAAGCAGAGCCAGAAACATAACACAAACGCATTCGTTAGGGCAACACAACACAACAACAGAGTTCCAACCACACAAGCATTACGCTTCTACTAAGAAAACGAACAAACTTTGTTAAAAAGGCCAAAACGATCTGCTCTCACAAATCACTAAACCCAATAAAAAGACAAAACTACAAAAGCTATATCGTAGTGGCAACAGCTTCTGGATGATGAGGAAGTATCTGATGAGCGGTGGGTACATTGTTCTTCGATTTGTTAGCTACACGGCTTGTTCTTGTTTCCTTCACCAGCGACGCCTTTTTCATCGAGGACTCAGCGAGAACTTTCCTCACCTCGTTCGCCAGCTCTATAACATAATCCTCCTCATGCCCTGTGTGAAACAAAAAAATGCTTAACACATCAAAAACAATGTCTGTCTTTAAACCTTCACGGTTAGAACCTTCCACCCGAAAAGACAAAGCTTGAGCAGATAATGTTTTAGAAGAGTGATTATCAACGTTCTATTTGCGTAAAGACTTTTTAAAATATGTGCAAACTCAAAACACCGAACCCATAATTCCCAATCATATTGTACACAAAGGGAGGTTGGACTAACCGATGTCATGCATTGCCTTCTCTAGCAAAAAGAGATAATCTCTGTTGTTACCACATGGTCCATTGGCTGTCGCAATTTGCCTACGAATATAAAAAAACAACAAGCTAGTGTGAGAACAAGAAACCGGCATTGAAGGAACAAAAGAAATTGATCTGGAGGCTAAGTGTTTACCTTGCCATGTCTTCTAATGGCGCAGGTCCAAGGTAATACTTGTTGGAGACCTTGTCTGGAGTAGAAGTAAACCTGAAGATTGTAAAAAAATGCATCCATTACAAATCACAACACAAAGAATTGTAGAAGTAAAGCAAATGATACAGCGGTATTCCCCTTATTGATATGAGAACAGCCTCTAAAAGATCGGTGCCATAGAGAACAACTTACACTAACACTCCAGTCACAGCTGGCTTCAGGGGATCATCTTCCTGTGTAAGTTAAGAGAAAAAACTTTCGAGGTCAATATTTAGTAGCATAAGAGAATAGGCATATTCAGCAGAGTCAGGCTTTGTCGTGACTCACCTTGTAAAAGTCTACGGATGTCTTGAGATCATATTCACACTCTCTACGTTCCAAGTACTGTGCACAAATAGAATGATCAACACAAAGGCATTGACACGATACATCAAGCGATCTAGATTTTAGATGCAAAAGACATACCTCCATGGCCAAACGTTCTGTTTCTGGTCCTCCACGGACACAGAATGCAGTACCCCACTGTCAACAAAATAACTCTACTGTTAATAAGAAAACGACAATTCATGAGTAATCGATAGGTGTAAAATTCTACATACGCATATGGCATCTTCAGCTTTCTCGAGTGTGCAAGTTCTAGCAGGATGTTCTGGTGTACCTCTATGATCAATGCAAGCTAACAAGTCAAATCAAAACACAAAAGAATCAATTGAATCAGTAATCAATAGTTGAATAATAAGAGATAAATCAATCAAATAAGCAAAAGGAACAAAATGTGTTACCAAGATCAAAGACACGTTTATATCCCTTGATGAAACCTAATACTTTCTCGTCGTAGTGAAATCCAGGGTTCCACACAAGAGAGCCATAGCCAAAGACCCACATCACCATTTTCTGAAGCTAAATGCTGTAAACACACACAAAAAGACAAATCCTAAGATTAAAGACACAAATCAAGATTTTGTGGAGAGTAAATGCCATAGAAAAAGGTACAACACGTAGAGACAAGACAAGAGCTAAAAGTAACACATGTGCAATGAGCAATTAAGACAAATCACGAGTGGACCAGTGTTCCAATTGTTAAATGTCGATTAGATAAGCTCAGATCTTGGGTTCACTTGAGAACAGCTCAGACAAGATTAAAACCCCAAATCTTCATTATTTCTTTTTCAAATTTGAAAAAACGAGTTTCCATGGTAGTGCAGGTAAAGAACATGAATCACCAAACTTTTGGAAAACAAAGACAACCATATTCTCCCAAATTCTAGAAATAAAAAAGGGCTTAATTTTCTCTATTCAGATTTGGTGCAATAGTCATATAATCACAAATTAAAACCATTTCCTTTCAGTACAATAACAAACATCCATACAGAAAAATCGCTGAGAAGATGCAACAGAAGCTACCTAAAACCGAAATGCGGAAAGAAAAAAAAAAATCAAAACTTTACCTCTCGGGCACGACCTTTTCAAGAGAAAAAAATCAATCCCACCGTGAGACAAGACAAGATCTTCTCTCTTGATTAGATCAACTACGAGCCGAGAAAAGCTGAGAAAATCGTGGGAGGGAGAGATTGCAGAGGATGGTTTGAGGGAAACGACGTCGTTTCGGGTTCGTACGGAGCTAGTAATGGTAATGAGAGATACCACTTAGCTC